AGTGTTTACAAATTAAAATTTTTCTTCTTGGACATAGAAAAAAATAGTCCAATCTAGAATTATGGCACTAAGATGTTAGGAATCAAAAGACAGCTAAAGATGAATATTCACATACTCTAAGTCACCAGGGAAATGAAAGAGCCTCGAATTTGTCTTATCTGTTTCTACTCTGCCTCCCTCGAGTCAGTTCGCAGCATGGCCAGGGTGGTGTTTTTAAAATGTAAACAAGATTAAATCATTCCCTTGCTCAAAACCCAGCACAGTCTTTCCATGGATCTTAGAATAAAACCAATGGTTCCCACCCTGGTTTAGGAGGCCTTACATGATCTGGCCCTTGGCCATCTCTCCAATCACATTTCCTATCAGTCTTCTCTGCCCTTTTCACGTGCCCCCCACAGTGGACTTTTTACTACTCCAAGGACACACTATATATGCTTGTGCCACCAGGATTGTTCACTTACTGCCCCCTCTGCCTGCAATGTTCTTAAATCAGACATTTGCATGGCTCAAATATGACTTTTTCAGAGAAGCCCTCCCTGACTGTCCTGTCAAAGTCAGCGCTTCCATCTCTAAATCCTGACATTGTACTGCATACTTGTTTAAACTTGTCTATTTTCTACACTTCAGTATATGCTACGTGTAGAAAGTGATTCTATCTGTTGTATTCTTCTGGCCTAGAACAATAATACCTGACACATACAGGCACTCAATAAATATTTGAGTAAATGAGTAAATAAATGAATACATTTCTGAATTAAAAATCTGTTTATATTTTAGTGGTCTAGACAAAGTTTTGACTTGAATTATCTGGTTAACTAGATCAGTTCATGTTATTTTGCTTCAACTATCAAGAAAAGCATTCCTTCATTCTTATATACAATAAATGTTTATTAATTTTTGTTAAATGCTTAGCTCATAGTGGATGTGCAATAAGTATTTGCTGAATAAATGGGGTGACTACTATATAAAAGTTATTAGACATTTTGGTATTTAATTACCAAAAAGAAAATGGACCAAATCTCCCTGTTAAGTGGGCTATGTTATTTTTAAATATGATGATAAATTTCATATCCCAAGAATCAGTGTTCAGTAATCAGTATAAATGGTGAACGTCCCCACAGTTTGACAATCCTAAGCTACATGAAATGCATACAATTCACCTTTTCATTATTTGTATACATTTTGGGCATTGAAATCCATATTATATAATTTCATTCTTTTTTTTTTCCCATTGAGATGCTGAAAATGGTTTAGATTCCCCATCTGTCAGAATCTTCTTATTTGGAACAAAAACTCAATCAGCCTTGTTTCTTTTAATGACTATTTTATTTGTACCAACCTGTGATATTACTATCCTTTATATCACCTATCCTTCAAAGTATGAGTCAGTGTTTACTGCAGAGTTAGAAAGTGATTGAAGGTTACTGTCTGCTGTAAGCCTTTGCCAATCAGGCAGTTTCTTCATCTTTAGGCAATTCAGTATGTGTCTAATTTAAGTAATTTGATCATTTGATCATTCTGATCTGACTTCCAATTATACTTGTATCAACAGATCTATTTCATTTCAAAGTTGAAGCAGCAGCTACTGAAAACCGAATAAATGGGCCTGCACTGCTTGAAAGTGCTCTCCATAGGTTCAAATATTTAGATATAACAAGGTGAAAAATGTGTACCAATTTATTGCTTATATTATATGCAGCTATTATTAAAACATGAATTGGAATCAGAAGGCATGTTAAATATTGCATAAATATTTTGCAGTGAAAGACTATGTCTTTTCTCAGACACTGTTTTTGACTGTGGCTTCTGGAGACCAGTCAGAAGGCATGCCCTGCAGTAAATGAGGGTAATAAAGAAATCCAGTGCCAAGCAAACAATACTTCCCTTTGCTTGGCAAGATTTCTTCTGCTTTCCTGATAATGTATGCTGTGCCTGGGCAGAGAGCATGCTGTTAGGAGGGCGGTTAGTTAATATTAGGGACTGGGTTATATGTTGCTACGTAAAGTTTTATCTACAAAAATGATTTATGAAAATCAAATCTAAAACGTATAGCTGTGACTTGTCACTGGAACATTTCGGTTGACAGAGTGACACTAAAATGGTTAAATGACACTCTAGAGGCTGTCATAGATGCTTTTTTTTTGCCAGGCTGGTAAGGCCTAAAGCAGTTATAGGGTTTCAGATGCTAATTCTGAACTTGTTCCATTTGGCTACATATTTTGCAATTTGTGTGCCCCTTTGAAAGAATTTACAATTAAAGACTTCAACTGGCTAACCTGCACAATTTATAGTCTATAGCCTAGTTTTTAAAGGTCAAGAATGATCATCCTTTGATAATGTTTTTAAATAGCAGAAGATACAAGCCTGTTAAATATAATACACTTTGAAGGAATCTTATTCAAACAATCTACACTAAATAGAAGGGCTCCTATATTTTTAAAAGAATAATCATATGCAGGAAACAATGGTGTTCACTTAATAAGCAGCTCAAAATATTTAAACAGTAAATGTAACATTCAGAAGACGACTCCTTTCTGTGAGAAGGAACACGCCATTTTCCTTGGTATCATATTCAGGAAAGCGGAACCAGAACTGTCAGTTTGCCTTGAGAGACTAGGGCCCATCCTCTTTTCCTTGAAGCCTAATACCAGTGTCACAAAACATTGGTGTTGTCTCACTGTATCATAACAGTGTCATAGTTCAAGCAATCGCCATGTCAGCCTAACCCAACTGCAGTGTGAGCTTGCAGTCATAGATAATGAAAAGTTTCACAGGACAAGACACTTAAAATGAATGTTGGCTAAATACAAGGACTGTACAGAGATGAGCCAATATATCTATACCAGGCCTTGAGTCACACAGGCAAATACTCACTTTTAACCTATAAATTATAAAGACAGCTTCAAATGGAGAATGATGATGCTACCAGTTTTTGGGGTGGTGGCCGTATCACACGGAAGAATCTCTGCATGGACCAAAGATGATAGAATCCCATGAAATGAGAGACAAGGTTAAACTAACTGTTAGATAAAAATTATTAGAAATATACAAAGAGGTTTCAGGCAACTGGGAACTGAATGGGATGACTCTCATTTCCATTCAACATAGTCTAATTACTTAGTAAATACATATTTACTGTTGTTTATTAACAGTTCATAATTAGATTACATTGGTTAAGGGTCATTTACGCTTAGAATTACTTTGAACACTACAGTTTGACCACGTTAACCACAAACACTTCGGCAACTATGTGCATACGGCACTCAAGTAACTAATATTATTTTAATCTCATGCCTCATCAACTGAGACATGAACTGTGACATGCTAATGCTCATTCCTGGCCTGAGACCCTGCACTCAGTCAGTGAGACATACCCACAACCCTGTGAGTCCATCTCAGAACCTGTTATACTTTCTTCCATGTTCTTTTACCAGCTAGTCATTAGAAGTTCAGTGAAATCGATACTTCTCCATCAGCTCTTAACTCCAATCTTTCACCAAACCACTCCTCACTTTCCTCACTGCTACCTAGAGTGACAAGCTCATCTGAGTGACACGCCTCTGGCTGGTTGACAGATGAGAGGAAGGGGCGAGGAGGGGCATAGGGTAGGGGAATTGGTACTATTCGAATCTATGAAAACGATTAGTTCTATTGGAGTCTAGTAAAATGCAAGCTCTGTTAGAGGCAAGTGTGGTTTCTCTGAGCCTTGGGTTTCTAGCCTCTGTCAATGAGCAGATATTCCTTCTAAGTTGTAAAGTCATTTGCGATAGCCGAGAAAAAAAATTCTATATATCTGTTAGACTTTTTACTTAGCAAAAAGTTAGTGGTTCAACATTTTCTCTTTCCTTCTAGCTTATCCTTATGATACTTATTTTTTTTCACCCTTACACATTAAGATACCATAAATACACACTTGCTGATTCTCCTTCCTTCTCAGTTTTGCAAGCATTTTTCACTTATTCACACTCATCTTGGAGCATTTAATCTAGTGTACTTGTCTTTCTTCCTTTCATTTTATTTTCTTCAATTATTATTTAAAAGGGGATTTGATTGACTCTGTCTTATTGAATTGGCATCTTGCAGCTTGGCAGCGCCAGATGGGAGGGGGCTGGGATGGCACTGGGTCCTCTCTTCCCTTTCTCCTCTCTTGCCTCTCCCCATTCAAATCCTCTGATGATTTCTATGTGAAACTTCGACTCCATATATTTTTATGCAGCAGAAGTATAATTAAGTATTTAAACATTTCAAAGTCATGAATTTGAAAAACTCATAACTGACAAAATTACAGGTTTTCTGAGAATTTAGACAAATTATGTTTTCGGTTTATTTGCAGTATTTTTTTTAAGGTAGTAAAATAAACTCTGCCCTAGGAAGTAACCAGGATACTCTAAAATCTTATTCTTTTTTTGGTTGGGCAGGTAATTAGACATATATATATATTTTATATATATTATATATTTTTATATATATACATTATATATATATATATATTTTTTTTAAATGGAGGTACTGGGGACTGAAACCAGGACCTTATGTATGCTAAGCCTGTATTATTTTTTTAATGAGTTCTTTTTTATATTAATTATCACTAGCCAAATATTTGATTTTGGTATAAGAAGAGTCAGCCAAAGTGGATGATACTGTTTATTTTTTTTAACCTTTATTACTAGAGCTCTTAAAGCACAAAAGTTGTTAATACATTGCTGAACACATCATCAGAACCATCGTGGGGAAGTACTGGGAATGTCTGCACATGGATGTGTTACACAGAATTTTCCTCATCAACTCACAGTGCCCTCAAGTGTATAAATAAATGGGCACTCTAGTCTAACTTTGGCTAAATATTTAAATAACAAAAAAGAAAGGCACATTGCATACCAGGAAATTAACTTTGACAATTCTGAACTTAAGGAAGGAAAAGATAACTCTACCATAATGGCTGTACATTTAGAAAAAATAATATTAGTGTAAAAATAGGCTTTGAAAATTTGTTTTCAGAATTGCTTCCTTCCTCCGAAATGATAATTATACCATGCACAAGATATTGCATTTATAAATATTGCCTTTGTTTTTTTCTCTTCAGGGTCCTTGTATATTTGCCTTGGCTTTTTATGACAGTATATCTATGTTGAAGTTTGCACATCTTTCTTTGCTAAGAATAAAAAGGCAGCAAGAAGTGTTAGATGGTGATTCAATAGGCAGGCAGGTTAATTAAATAATTAGAATAATACCTAAACTGTGCTAAAATGATCAGAATATTACATGGAGAATTGGTTTTGCATGATGAGAATTATTTTTAAGGCCTTCACTTTTCATATTGTGAAGAAACTTGGTGTGATTAGGCTATTTTTGCTTGCTCATATAAAGTATTCCCTTTTGGAAATGTGTCTGAACAAATACACACTAAAATAGTAGGTTTCATACTATGCTTCTAGGAAACAATTCTGTTGGGAGCTCAATCAAGATGTTCTGCCACTAAAATAACATAATAGCAGCTTTTTTTCCCAATTCCTTAAGGAAAACAGAAGATTTTTTTCTGTTTTGTAAATTTCTCTCCCGCGCGCCCCCACCACCGCCAACACGCCTTTTTTAGTTTCATTTGTTCTTCAGTTTGTCTAGTGGCATGTGCTGCTATCAGATGACAAAATGAATGAACCAAGAGCACATAAGAAATGAGACAAGCCTTGTATGTATTCTCAAATCTGTGTTATGAATCATTACTTTTTATGTGCAGAGACTTGCATGCATATAAAAACTGTCATATTTCTGCAGGTGAATTTCCTCTTAATTCTTTCAACTCAATTAAAATATCATTATTCCATGAAAATCTGCAAAGAGTGTCATAATTCTTAAGTGCTTGAGCATTTAAGTACAACTGAGAACCACTGAATTAAAATGCTAAATTATTTATTAGTTTTAATTTTTTGAGTGTAAATTATAATCCAGAGATTTTCAGGTATATTTCAGAAGCAAGATTAAGTCTGATAATCACACTTTATATTGTTTAGGCTCAAAATTTTCTCTGAAATAGCAAAGAAAACACAACGAAGATAGAAAACAATGTCAGCCCAGGTCTATGTTGTGATAGTTATTTTCAAAAAGCTTTATGTTAAGTGACACTGTTAATGGCTACACATCTAATCTAACTCGAGACCTTAAAGATGGTCTCTAGTTTGCACTCCATTAAAAGTTTTTAATAAGATTTCAACAAAAATAATAATAAAAGCATTTTACTTCACCTTTGCTTCTCCTTAACAATTCAGAATATTAATTATAGCATAACCTTCATTTGACTTGGGACCATTCCTGTGTTCTCAACAGCATATTGAATTGTATGCTGACACTTTAAGAGCAAAATAAATCTCTTGTTTTATTTTTTAACTTCTGTTTCATTTTAGAATGGCCTCTCAAATGTGTAATACTCAGCTATACTTTATCTATTAAACAGTATTTTTAGCATTTGTCTTTTTATCTTCTGATAAGATCAAGTTGTTGAAAAAGCATTTTAAAAAGTTCAGGAGTACATCTTCTCATTAGTATCTTAAAGAGAGACTGTATCTTTCCAAACACAGGTGCTGGCTTGCTTTCTAAATGATTGCACTAACCCCAATCTGGGATTATGTACTCAACTTCCTTTTATTTTACCAGTCACTTTCCAAGAGGACAGATCACAGGACTCATAGAAGAAATAGACTGAAGCAGGATGTCAAAGGGAGAAAAAGGAATTTTGATTGTTGAAGATTCCAGAATTCTTTGCCCCTTTAAGAAATTAAGGGGGAAAATTTGAAGAACAAGAAAAATGAGAGTCTATGGGAAAAGGTGAAGAATAAGACAGAGGAAGCCTTTGGGTTGTCCAGAGAACTATCATTTTTCAAAGCAGACTCAGCAGTTCTTATCCTCTGTTGATCAGCTAGCAAATATACCATAAATTCTCTTTCACAATAGTGTTTCTCAAAGTCTGGTCTGAAAAAAGGATTAAATGAGCCTCCTGGGAGTCCGCTCCGAGTGGGCAGGGTCATGGAGTGTGAGTCCTTTCCTGGCGGGGTCAACCCCAGTGGGAGCAGCAGACAAGGCCTGGGGACTCTGGGCTGATTAGCCAGGGTAGCTAGCTTGGAGGATATAAATATTTTAGGAATGTTTTTGTTAATTTAACTTACTAAGTAGAAAATGCAACTGAATTTGTCATTTGTTTACTACCAGTGGGCAGTCACAACTGTTTGAACCTTGGTGAGAAGATACACACAGCTCCCAGACGACACCAAAGGGAGAGCTAAGGCCTAGTGTTACACAAAGTTCTATTGCAAAGATCATACAGAATTGATTTATACTCTGTTTTCTTTTTGTTGTTGTTGTTTTAAAAAGAGGAGATTTAATTTGTGGTATCTTGCTGATGTATCCCGTTGATTGTACTTCGAAGGGAATGAACCTGCTAGTTGTTTTCTTCCTAAAATTCAGTATTTGAATTATACATCAAGTTAAACGATTTAAGTAGGATAAAAACCAAAACAAGTATATACATTACAGAGACATACAATTTGTGCGGGGTAAATACGGTGACTGAAACTGAAAAAGTTTAGGAATCAGATGAAGAAAAGCAGGGCAGGAATTGGAACTACAAAGGGAATTTCGCAAGAGGGCCTGGAATTTTGTTAATGAACAAAGCTTCGATGACTTAAAGACTGTCTTCTTAGCTACCGATTTTGTGGTAAACCTGGGCCTTTAATTGAAAGGACCCTGGTATACTTGGAGCTGATTTTAAGGATGACTTTGGCTGAACATGAAATCAAGAGAAGAGACAGAAAGATAAATTTTATTCATCTAAGATTCAGGACTCCATGTACCATAACTAAGAGTGACAAGACACAAGTAGAAGTGTGAAATTTGGAGAATGTCCCCAGGGGCATCATATACAGTAACACTGAGCCGTTGGAAAAGGATGGCAAACAGAGAAAGCACAATGGAAGATGAAAGTGTGGGAAATCTAAGAATATTTTGAATTGGGAGTTTGGGATTTGGAAATACCAGCTCTCTCTATAAAATAAATAAACAAGTTTCTTCTGTATGGCACAGGAAACTACAGCCTATATCTTGTAGTAACACATAATGAAAAAGAACACGAAAATGAATATATGTATGTATATGTATGACTGAAACATTATGCTGTACAACAGAAATGGACACATTGTAAATTGACTGTACTTCAATAAAAAAAAATTAAACTAGAGTTATTTGCCAACGTTTACATAAATGCAAACTTGAATTTTTTTTTAAAAAGTGTTTTGAAAATCTGTGTGAGCTAAAGATGAAAGGTGTCTTCAAACAAGAAAAAAAATGAATACAGGAACTAAATCTTTAGCTCATAGCTTATTTTTCTCATAATTTAGATGTTATTGTCCCCCTGTCTTCTGGAATTTAAATTTGCAGAGGAGAAGTCTGAGTTCATTTTCATTTTGTTCCTCTGTAGGTACAGAAACCGGGACTACATTTTCCAGAAATTCTTCCCTGCATTGGTTCTGGGCCACAAGAGAATCAGCTACAGGCAAAGCGGCAGCCCTTCTACTGTGAAGGTCCATCGAGGGCACAGGACCAGCTTGCAGGCCACGCCGATTCTTACCCATCTGTTGCTACCTCACCTCATTGTTGTGGGGCAGCAGTGCAGCCTGCAGCATCTCAAACTCCCACTAGTTTTCCTCCATCAGCTTCTCTGAGTCCTGACCCAGTGGGTATGCAGCTCCATAATACAAAGTATCAGCTTCTGCAAATCACCCACATCATTGAGGCTGGAGGCAGATGTGTGTCCCAGTTGTTCCTTGCTGTCTTCCTTGTCTCAGCTTTTCTTCCTGACCAATGACCTGCTGACTCGCAGCATTGTCAGTGCCAACGCCAGATACAGAGGCAGCAGTCTTCTTACTTCTTCAGTAGCTCACATAAATACATAAGGTCTTAGCACTATAAAAGCTTCCTAATTCTGTAACACTCATAGTAGCGCTATTTCTTATTGACCCCTTTAGGAGAGTAGGTGACTTATTTCTTTCTACAAGCTGTCTTGTAGATGTTTGTCTGAGGTCTCCTTTTTTTTTCTTTCTATTTTTATGGCTAAAAACATTTTCCAGGACACATCCTGGAGAGGGCAGATATTTGCTAATTTATTGATTGTGCCTGGGAATTTTTTCTTTTAATCTGCACTCAGTTGCTTTTTGGACTATTCATTTATACTCAAGAAAGTTGTTTTTGATGATCTTTTGTTACTATTATCAATAATAATACTCTTTATTGGAGGTTTACTACTTGTCAGGAGCTAAATGCTTTAAGATGCATTATATTCTTGATCTCTTATAGTAATCCTATGAGGTAGGAGTCTCCCAATGAGCATAGTAAGTATTACACTGGATTTCCCTGTTCTAAAAGTATGAAAAATAGAGATAATGTTGGGAATCTTTTTGGTTGGTTTCTTGGCTTGCTTATCCATCTTAAAAACAAGTCCTGATTTACCTAAAGCTAGTTTGCCAATTTGCAAGGCGTGTGGTTTGTGACTTACCCTATTCCCTGCCCTTTCTCACGTGTATGTGCTCCTTTTCCATGTCTACCTCTGAGTGCTGGGTTGATGGCCGTATTTCCCAGTCCAATGTCCAGTGCCTAGACTTTTATCTAAAACAGTCAGCCTTCCCACTTTTCCTCTGAAACACTTTGAATAGATTGAGTGCACGGAAATCAACAGTCATGGATACGCCCAGAATCCAGACTCTCTCTATACCCCCACCTCCTCTGCCTGTGGCACTTTTTTTTTTTGCAGGAACTACAGCAACACCAGGTACATCCCTCTTCTTGCCTCATTATATTCTAGGAACCATAGTCTGTAGCTGCATGTTGAGAGAGGTGATCATAGGAATCAGGAGGGGGACAGAAGCATTTTGGTTTTCTCCAAAAGCATTACTGATCTATACAGAGAAGGCCACTCAGTTTTATGATTGGTTTTTCCTTATGGTTTTCAAAACAGGCTGGATATAGAGGTGAGTAGCCTGTGTTTCTGCAAGCAGAGAATTGGTGGATGTGGACTGCATTTTAAAATCTAGCTTTATTCGTTTTTTAGTTAGTAAAGTATCTGCAGGTTTTGGTAGGTTTTTTTTTTTTAATAGCTATGTGTCTATCTACCTATCTGTCATCCATCTATATTTTTAGTTGTTTTATTAGTAGGGAAAAGTTTTATTAGCTTTGCTAGTTGGACACGATATTAAACTGGGAGATCTTTCCCCTTACCACATCTATAATCTCCTTTTTAGTGATGTTTCCATTATCCTTAGATTACACAAATTTGGGACAGACTACACTTGTTGGAGGAAGGTCTAGCTACTCTCATTGATTAAAGATAACCACACATTTCAAAGTAATTAAAAAGAATGTTCAAGAACGATTAACACTAAATAGAGCCTTTCCTCTGAAATTCTGGGGAAGAACATTGCAGACGGGAGGAATTTGGCCCAAAGCATGACCAGCTCACAGATAACTTTGTGACAGTCAAATATCTCTTATACATGTATTTATTATTTCTAAAGCACACTATTCCCATATTTCTTTATTCATGGGACAATTTTGAATATATTTCTGATACATGAAGGTTTTTCCATGGTTGATTCATCATAAATGCCAAAATTGAATTATATTTTATGGATACTTTCTGCTGTTCATTTTACTACAGTGTGCATTAAGTCAACACAAGCTGTATTAAGCCAACGCATTATTTCAGTTTAAATATAGCATAAGGTTGCAGTCTGTAAAACAATCATGAGTACCCTTCTGTATTTTGTTGCATATTTATTAAGATTGTAGGCTCCTGTCTTTTCAAGAGTAAAATCAAAGAGAAGCTGTGAAATGTATCAAATAAAGTGAAATACTATCTTATGTTTGTGTCATACTCCATAGAGCTGTGTCAGGCACGTGAAGAATAATGGTGGTTCTTGAAAAGAACTTTAAAACAGTTATCCTACAGGAAAACTTCAAAATTTGAGTTAGAATTTACCCGTTATAGATTGTGCTTAGCAGATTGTAAATTGTGTTTAATATTTTCTAATATTAAAGACACAAGTTTTAAAATATATACTTTCAAACTATATGGTCAATGTCTTATTTTCAAACTATATGGTCAAAGCCTTTCCATGCTTAAGATAAGGAGGATGGACGTCACAGTTTTACTTTTTTAAGCACTTAATTTGAAATCTGTCCTCAGATTTGTTTATCAGTTGTCCACTG